TCAAATAAATTTTTATTCAATGAATTTTGGAGCCATTTTCTTGAAATGAATAAGTTCAAAGTTATTTGATTATTTAATTATGTCATTTAAATGTAAATGAAATGTTTCAATAATAAATTTCAAGGAAAAGATGATTATAATTGATAAAACCTTATGAATAATAATACTACTTAAATTCAATAGGAAGCCGTTTTTTTTCAAAAATTAATCCCAATATGTATTGAAGAAACATTTCATGAATTGTTTCCAAAACGAAGGCGCCATTATTTTTAAGAAAAAAATTAAAATCTTTAAAATTACGATTATAGAAATGTATATAAAGTATTTTAAAACGTTTATTCTTGAATATTTAGTTTTTCTTTTCTTTTTATGAAGAATACGAAAATATTTATGACATTTATGTGTTGATATAAAGTAGTTGAATGTAATGGGTAAGAAAATTCTAAAACTTGACTTTGTTTTAGCTTGGTTATAATATAGAAAAAATCTGATACATTCTATGAGATTAAAATTTTGATCACATCATTTATTAGTATATGATATTGTTACTAAGCTATTCGGGTAGCAATGAAACTTATATAGGATTAAATTATTTATATCGAATGATTATCGAGTAGTTGTTAAATTTATGTTCGTCTAATTGTTATAGATGATAGAATCCGACTAGTTAGGTTGCAACGTAAGCAGTAGTATTGAGCGATACTGATTCTAATTCAAATTACACAGGAATCATCAGTTCCTTCAAGAATTCAGATACGCTTTGTTGATAAGTGACAGTTAGCGCGAAATCTATATCAAAAAGTGTTTTTCTCTGACTATCTTTAACCACCTCATATCAAGATATAATGCACGTATATTGGTAATTATACGGTATGAAAAAAGAACAACAGAATTCAATGGACCATAGAGAATTAGAAAAACATGATACTAGTCACTACTAAGGGATAACTCAATGTATATTTATGTGTATGTTTACATTTAAACTATCTGAATGGTTGTTCAGTTAATTTCGTGCAAAACAACCGGATATGTAAATCAAAAATATAACTTATTTATGATATCAAAGACAGTTTGTCACCTAAGATTTACTTTACACTTTAAATATGTTCTCAAATGAGGTTTAAAATAAACCTATCAACTAATAGTTACTAAAGATATATGAATAATTTTCTCTCAGGAAGATCTGGATAAATCTGGATATCATAACAGAAAAGAAGTGGAGTTCAATGAATATGTATCTATATTTTGTCCATCCGATTACACTCCTACAATTTACCATAGAAATGAATATCTGTTGATTAAATAAATTAAAGTAGATCCATGAATATACATGATTTGAATGATAGCTTATTGTAAAGTAATACTACGCTTTCAAATATAACTAGTTATATTTTCTCTAGCAAAAATGAATATACCGAGGTTGTACTGTAGTGAATGAGGAAACAGGCCGGGACAACCAAATGTATTTTAATACAACATTACAGAATATCTTGGTAATATCTGAGAAGCATACAGTAAATACTTCATTTGCAAAATAATCGTTTCCATACCAAACACTCTCTGTTCTCGTTCTCTTCTCTTTGATTCTCTCAACCTTCTGTTGCCAGGCATTCCATTTTCGATCGGTGATGCATACGACTACTTATATTATGTAATGTTGTATTAAAATACATTTGGTTGTCCCAGCCTGTATTCTCATTCACTACAGTACATTTATTACAGACTATAGGTTATATATTTTTGAAGTTAAAAGTTGATGAATAAACCACGTTAATGACACTTGGTAATGACCATGAAAATATTCTATATATTACCATACAATTAGAGATTTAAGTGTTATTCTACTGTCAATGTGGATAATTAATACTTACTATGTGAATGATGGCTGTAGCTATTAAAATAAATGAATAGAATACAAATCGATAGATATTATACTATCCTACAGTGTAGCTGAGTGTTGGCTGTTCAAGAGATCGAATTACTATCGAGATCAATAACAAGATTATTATCCAACAAAGTAGGTTTTTTATTTCGTAAAATAATATAGTTATAAGGAAAATATTCATCAAAAAATATGTACCATAAGGGATTGAAGAAAATCTCTGAATCAATTAGGACATTGCCCACTATATCAATCAGTTTATTGGTGCGATCAGTATAAAATCATTTTTGAGTAACTAAGTGAAAATAACTACATATCATTTATCAACATATTATTTCAATAACTAATCGTGTACATATTCTCCAGAAAAACTATGGATGTAATAATTGATGAAATCAGGTCAACCATCAATAAATAATATAGTCTACCGTTGGAATTAGATGAACTGACCATTTCGACCAATAGCGCTTTCATTATAAAAGGATGAATAAAATACAGGATGATGTAAAATACGGTAATGTGGTTAGCTGACAAATACTCACGAAGTAAAATCTAGTAACATGTTATACTTACTAATAAATGGTAATAAAATGAAGCAAACTAACTAATCTCGTCATCACTTCTCATCTAAATATAATGAAACACTTTGTTGTGTATGAAATTATAATACACTAGTGAATCAAGTTTATATGCAGTATGATGAAGTGGCATACAACTCCATATAAATGATTCCCTAAACAATTAATATATATTCTAGATACCGATTCAGGTTATTTCTATTATGATTGAAAACACCAAGTTTTGTCGTATAACAAAAATTATACTAGTATTCAAACAAATAATATAGACTTTGATAAAGAATTGAAAAGAATAACTATAATCATTACCTTTAAATTATCCACAATTATAGAGATCAATGCCAAAGTTAGACTTCATCTTCTCAGATAAATTGATCATTGGGTAGAAAGTTAATAATAAATATATTTCCGTTATATCCCAATGGACAGAAAAAATCGCATTTCTGACTTTTCGTGACTTAACTTAAGCCACTTCTTCAGAGTAAACAAAGAACCGAATCAGTTATATTTCTTAAAACACTCAGCCGGATAATTCCGTTTTCTTATCAAGCATAAAATCAATAACATGCTTTGAAAAAAATAATCTTGTAACTTTGTAGTAATTGGTTATGACATTTTAATGAAACTTATTTGTACTACTGTTATAATCTAGAACTGACCAACTTAAAATCAAAAATTTAAGCTGCCATTTTTTTCGTTATTGTAGTGATAGAAGCAGCCGGTATAAACTGGATGAATGCTTAATCATGCCTAAAAACAAGTTTGATATGATAAACCACTTATTTGTAATTTTCCAACTATATGCTCATTTCAGTCTGTAAATTAATAAGTAACGGGATTGAATCCACTGAACATTTTCAGAAATATCTTTGGTATAATGAGTGCAATTAAATGTATTTCGATAATGTCATGTATTTTACAGACAAACACAACTAAACCGAGTTGTTTGTAAGCAGTTTATCTGAATGACATTAATTTAATAATATTACTAACCATTGAGTACTAGTCGGTTTGTTCTGCTCTAGTTCGATACTTTCTAGCCCGGATAAATATACATTTCTACATGGAACTGAATAATAAACCTACAGATCTTATCTCAAACACAACACATTTAAACCAAATGACTGAAATCCGTTAATATGCATTTTTTAATCCGATTAATCGGCTGAGGTTATCTTACTAAGTGTATTGTATCTAGCAATGATGATTATGTGGTCGCTAGCGACTAACTTTGAGGGGAAATTTATGGAGTTTTCGTGAGAAGCCGTGAGCAGTGGATTTCAGTTGTGTTAAGTATGAGGCCGTTACCCATCAAAGGCAATGAAATATGGATGCGTAATACTTTAGATTGATTAAGAATAAACGCTAACACTGTTGGATCCCTAACAGATGGTCTAGAGTTTAGGAGCTCGCTCGATACCGAAGGTTCGGAGGTCGAATCCCGAGTGCAGAGCCGTGAAAATGCACTACCGAAGAGTCCTATACTAGGAAGAGACGGCCACCTAGTGCTCGCAGGTTTCCAATGGTGATCTAAATTAGATTGCTTTATGACTCCAATGACATACCTAACTAGTTGAATCATTAGTTGTGAGATAGCTCAAGAACTTGTTTCCATGTTATTTATCACTTTAAAACTGGTGCTTGCCCTCTTATTTGAATCGTTACCACCTGGTGCCACAAGTATAGAGATCATTGTGAGTCATTCGGTTGGAAAGTGACCTCCTATAGAACTGAAGTATTTGCCAAGCAGTATCTGGATATTAAAAACAGTTTGATTTGCAGAGTCTAAAAATATTATTAAAATATAAAAAATGACCAGAATCCAATACTTCCATCCTAATTTTAAATATCCCCGTAATTCAAGAGTTTTATTTTTATTTTCTGAATAAAATGAAGTATTTTAAAGCATTAAAACAATCAAATATTTATATGTTCTAGGACTGATAATATCTACGAATCAAAGATGACATCGGTTACCATTTGTGTTCGTTATAATTTTAACTCCACCAAAATTACTTTTAGAAGAATTCTTACCTGATAAGCTAAATTGTCGTACACCAACAAATATTAAAACTATATATTTCTGTATATTTTTATTTAAATGATCGTATTGTCGTGTGTGATACTGATGTCGTCAGATATAAGTAGTATATATCATCAATCAAAAGTGAAATGCCTGATGATGGAAATTTAAGAAGATCGAAGAAAAAAGTACTAGAACAAAAAATGATTGGTTGACATTTTGCAGATGTAGTATTTACTGTATAGTTCTCAAATTTTACTAAGGTCTACTGTAATTTTGTATTCAAATACATTCAATTGTCCCCATTTGCATTCTTCTTCATTACAGTATAAAAGATTCATTTAAATATCCTTATATTAGTAATGATATTTGTAGACATAATCAAGAATGATTTTTTTTTCTTTTTTTCGGTATTAATTTTCTTTCCAAACTTATAGTATGAATTCAAAGAAAAAGGCATTAAGAAACAGAAGGTTTTAATTAAAATTTCCGCTGATGGTGTTTTTATTTATTTAAGAAAAAACCAAAAGTAAGTCTACAATGATTTAATTGTTAACTTAATTGATATTTAATGTAATTTTATTATGAATTGAAATGATAAATTAATCGTAATTATATTATAAAATTTTATGGTTAAAGTTAATGTTTGTTATAGAATGATATCAGTTGAAGTGTTATGAATTAAGATGTGAGTTAATTGTTTGTAGTTCTTTAGTTTTCAGTAGTTCTTCGATGAAGTAAAATTGATCTTAATATTGAATTGATCATCTTAAATGAAGTTGTTTGTTTGAATTCTAGCACAATATTGTTTTATTTGTTAACTTGTAAACTATTTACGCATAAAAATAGTGGGTTGAAAATAGATTTTAAAGAGTCTTATTTGATTAATATTAACCGCATTTAATTTTCAATGTTATAATATATGAATCCTGGATATCTTTCATGTAATTTAACACGGGATCTAGATTTCACTGTGTCGAATAGTGCAAAAATCGTATAAGGACAGCTATTATATGGTTTTCAATGGTTCATCAACTGATGTTGATGCAGTGTGAATGTGTTCCCCATCTATACAGAACCCTGCAATGTCGGTTGCTATGTTAAATCTATAATTTATTTAGCTTCTGGACAGACCAATTTATCCATTCTTCCTGAGTCACATTTTGACCTTGTTAATTATTCATTTGTCAACCTTGACTATTTTTATATAAGCACATATGTGTGCCCTTCTTAGCCCATTCATCACATGACTGTAGTTTACTTTTATGTGACTATAAATATCGATTAATGCTTGATTAGTTGGAGTTGGTTCACACGCTTTCTCACTGCGCGTCATTTCATTTCGCTTTGCTCTCTTCTATTCGCTTCTTCCCACTGATTGTCTGTTCCGGTCCACGAGTTTACACAATATTCATATTCAAACATCCATTCTCGTATTTAAATTATTTAATTCCGTTTTTTACTAACACGATCTAAGGCGATAAATATATACGAGGATAGGCGACATATATATTACGATAGCAATCATTCAATAACAAGCATTCATATGATCTAACTGGAGCCAGATTCCGGGCAACAAAAACAAATCAAATATATTATTGGTAAGCATTGGTAATGCCCTGTTGTTGATATTTAGGATCGTGATTCTTCAGCGTTTATTGTCATATGTGTATCCTAACAAGGTCGCCTCGAAACGGAGTTATTTCACAAAACTTTAATACATTCATTTTGCGGCTGGCGGGAAAATCCAGAAAACCCGATTTAAAATCCATCAGTCGTATATTTCTACATCTCTACAATAATGATCACGTTGGAACACAAACCAACTACTTTACGCTCTACCGAACTACTGAATCCCCATAGCAATCAAATTGTCATACGAGTATGAAGTTTAATAGAAATTACTCATTTTTGATAATCAAAAACGTTGAAAATTCTGTGTAAATATCAACAATAGATGAAAATGTACTTAACTAACGTATTCTAAACAGTTCCAAATACAAATCATAGAATTCACTTCCATATATATGAATCATTCCTTATTTCATTTTCTCTTCATATCTTTTCTTAAGTTTGGAAAGCTCTTGTGTTTTGATTAACCTAATAACAGTAACATTAACAAAGGTGTTAACTAGATAATAAAAAGTTTATCATCATCAGTGATTGGATTCAATCCCTTAGGCTTAATGACATAACGATTACATAATGAAAATATATATCTAGATTGAGTAATTGAAATTTTCTCACTAATTCATTTATGATATTGAACAACATTAAATTAGTCATCTTGTAATGCTAAGTAAACTTGAGTAATTTCCAAAGAAACATAGATTAAACAATCTGGTGAAGAATTTGTCTATTGGGAATAAAGTCATTTAAACTATACTGAAAACGGTCGGTATTTTCAAAAAAGATCATCTATGACTAATCATATACATAAAGAAGATAATATATGTTTCAGAATTGTTTATTTTACGAAATGTAAAAAAAGAGATTTTATTACTTCAATTCATAGTTAAATGCTTGTTGCATATAGAAATCTTAATAGCAATTTACTGAAGATATTCAATCATAACTGTTATTGTAATTAGTTTGGTCATGAAAATCTATCATCTATTTAGCTTAATCTTTCATTTCAGACATAAATAATACATGTTTAATTTCAACAGTTGAGATCATGAGTCAATTGAAGCTAGATCACCATGGAAAACCTAGAAGCACTGGACGGCTGCTTCGTTCTCGTGCGGGACTCCTCAACAGTGCCCATCCACGACCTCGCCTCGCGAGATTCGAACACAGGAGCTATCAGTCCCGCGCGTGAGTGCTTAACCACTAGACCTTTCAGCTGTCCGGCATCCAACAGTGTTAATGTCTAACTTCAACTAATCCACGAAATCGAACGATACATCTACTAGTGTCATCAGTGAGTTACTATCTCACAAATGACTCGGTTGAGCTCCACCAGTCACTGTTTCTCACTAGATCGATAGGTCCTTGGTTCAAATCTCGCGAGGTGAGGTCGTGGATGCGCACTGCTGATGAGTTTCGTACTAAAACGAAAGGGTCATCCAGTTCTTCCAGGTTTTCTATGGTGATCTAGCTTTAATCGACTCATGATCTCAACTGCTGAAATTACTACAATCTTCACAAAACCTCTTCTGACACAAGTTTAATTATTGGATAAGTTTTGAAAAAATTCAGGAAAAGGAATACCTTAGTGAAAATTTATTTATTCCGTGATCTTTGAGGGTGTTAAATTTTATTGATTATTGTTACTTATTTTATAAACGTAATAATACCTTATTGTTAATGAAGACTGTGTGTCCGTATACGGATGATAGTTAATTTATAAGGATATTTGCTTTTCCACTCAGTATTTGATGTAAGTAACTGTGTACTATTGTGAGGAAATGGGATGCATATTTACAGATTTTATGGTATATGGATTTTTTTCTTTGAGAAATAATCTTCATTAACATTTAACTAGTAATAAGAAATTCTTTAAATCAAATTATTCTAATTCTTTGAAGTTTCACTACAAAAAATGATCTTATCTAGACAATCATTGGGAATTTGGAGATACTGAACAGTCATTTTTCGCAAGTATGGGACATTTTTAATGGCTCCCATTCATGAATTCATTTGAAATTACAACCATGATCATCAAGCTTCAAGGTTAAGGTTTAATTGTCAAACAGCCAGATTAGTGTTAGATGATTAGGATTTCTAAATTTAGTTGATTTAAATGTCCAGAACAAATTCCCCAGGTTTGACTGAGAAACCTTAACTAGAGACGTTTAACCATGTTGAGCATGAGACAGGTATCACAAATGATAATGGGTGGTATGCTCTGATAGCAACAAATCGATTGAAGATAGAAATGTTAGACATTAAATGCCAACTCAAATGTTGCAGAGTTAAGATATCCACCTGACGCTCGGAAATTCTGGGTTCGATCACATACACCACTTACTACGTTAGACATCGGAGTCCTGTAAAGATTTTTTATTGATTCGTTGTTAAGAAGTTAAGTCCCGAGAACTTTCGATCTTCGAAAGTTAACTACCGTTACAGTATTTCAATTGATTATGTTTATTTATACATCTGATGTCTATCGCATTATTAAGCTAAAAAAGACTAATCTAAGAACAAATTATTAAGAAGAAAGCATTATCTGTTCAAGAAAAAGTATTTTCAAGGTCGGAGATCTTTTAATGTTGGACTGAGAATAATATATCCTGATAAATTATTAAACTATTCGTATAGTAATAGAATAACCATAAGGATTCATATGATTTGGTTATATATATACTTAGACTAAGAAATAATTTTGAATGAATTGCAGTCGATAGTGTAATCCAGAACGTATGTTTTATTCTATTAGGGATTTATCAGCTGGATGTGGTTGTATCCCGATGTTGATATTCACATTGCAAACAAAACCTAGTACTTTTAGCTTTCAAAAAAAACTGAATTACAAAGTAAAGATAAGGTCTCACCCGGAATACCTACTGAGAACTGGTACAATCCTGTATTTATTACGTTCAATATTATAAAGTTGGACGATTATGTTAAGATAATATATGAACTAACAATAAATAGTATTTTTTTCATGATAAAACTTTCAATTCTATAATACAACAAAAAATAATACGAGTATGTGATATTTGTCTTCTACTCACTGTTTTACTTACATCAAAGAAAGATTGAACAAAGTTTAGAAAGTTACATGTGCAATACTTTTCTGAGTCATAGATGAAAGGTGCTAAGAGGTACCCTATCAAAACAAAACATCTGGCCAATATTAATAGATTTTCAATGGCTGATTAAACAAATCAATCAAGGATGTAAAATGAAAGTCAAAACAGCGTGATTGTTAAATGTCTACATAGTATTAACAAACCATGACGTCCAGTTCTAAGTCCTGTTCAAGTTATTATATCGTTATTGGCAAAATATTAAGTTATAATTCAGTGCACATTATCAAGTATTGCATGATTGGAAGCGATCGACAAAACTCTTCGAACCTATATACCAATCTCTATGATTTCAGTAGCACCTAAATAGCTCTATGACAGAAGTTCCAACCTTAACTGTTTTATATATGTTTAAAGCACTTGTAAACTATTAATTCCCTTCTAGCTGACAAGTATTAATCTGTGTTTAGGGATTATATTGATTGTCTCCAATCAAATATAAGATTAGCATAAAGGCGCTTTGTAGAGATTTTAGTAATTTTATAATTGAATTCATGAATCATGGAAAATCTGAACGGCCATTTCATCCTAGTGTGGAACTCCTCAGCAGTACACATCCACGATCCTTCGCCGCGAGATTCAAACCCAGAACCCATTGGTCTCGTATGTGAATGCTTAAACTCTAGACCACTGAGCCGGCCGACATCCAACAGTGTTCAAGTCTAACTTCAACCAATCCATAAAATCGAGCCACTATCAACCATGAATAAATTAACACAATTTATCTTCACTAGAAACTTATTCCAACAAAAATCGTATATGACATATTATG